GTCAAGCATAAACCCTCTCAGGATGTACGGGTCGATGGAGACTATGCCACCACTTTAAAATTTGTTCTACCTGCGTGCTATCTCCCTCCGAGCATGAACACGGCTGTCAGCACTTTCCAAAGCTCTTCTCTGAACTGCAGCTGATGCATGCGCAAGTGACCCAAGGAAGAACAGGGGCCCATTGCTGTTCCGAATGCACCCTTCTGAATTTCCTCGCAGTGACTAACAGCTCATCTATGTTGTCAGACGGGTGTTAGGGATTGCGGATAAATGAGTTTAGAGGCGCGCTTTGCCCTGGCAGCTTTGCGACAACCTCTGGATCCTTTGCATGTTAGATTCTCAGGCATAGCGCACATGTCTCAACAGGATGTCTGCTCTAGCTTTATCAAGCACGACATCCGCTCATCAAAGAGCACTACTCGGACAAGCATATCAACTGCCACGCCCAAGAAAGCATTTCTATTGCCTGCGCAGCCATCTCGAAGATGTGCGCAAGCGGGAGGTAAGCCAAATACACATCCTCCAGCGCAGGGACCAGCAAGACCCTTCCTTTTGCCTCTTGCAAGCATTTGCGACTGCATACAATTGGTTTGGGCTCTTTGGGAACGGCACTGTCCCCTGGACCAAACTTTCCACTGAAATAGTGCTCCACACCAGCAACCACTGCCACGACATTGGCATGGGTGAGAAGCACGCCTAGCAACGCATGCGATAGGGCTTCACAAGCCTTCAATCATGTGCAGTCAACCCTGGGAAAAGCATGCATTTGCCTTTTGGTGCACCTGTAGTACCAGAAGTGTACATGATGATCGCAATGTCGGACGGCTTAGCCGTTTGCAACTCTCCGGACCTGGGCAGGAGTTGATCGAAAAACCGAGGCCCTGGCTGCTGGCATTGGCCTGTTCTGAGAGTGCTTCAATCTGCTTTATGCTTTTGCTGCTTTGCAATGCTTTGCATTCTGAGGTCCTGCACTCTTTGCTCCCTCGTTCCACGCACTCCTTGACTGCGCTTGAGAGTTAACCCTCTCACCCTTGGTCCTACCAGTATGGCTGGTTACAGGTCGCAGGGATTTGAGTCAGTTCTCATAGAACAGGGAAGAGCATTCACAAACAGTTGGGAAAACTGGCAGCTGCCCGCTCACTAGCGGCTCACTATTGTGCATTTCTCGCCTTCCAAAACGTCTTCTGTGTTCTTCATGCCTCTGTGATATGCCAGGTTGTCCCAACAGCAACATGCGTGCTTGCCCACCCAGCAATGGCTACCAGCCGAAGGCAAGAAACATAGTTCAGAGGAAACGTAAAGTTCTTTGGGGCCCTCAGACATTCAGATTAAGCTGCTGCGCAGCAAAAAGGTGTCCAGATGGAAGCAGTGGAAGCCCACCGCCGATACATGTACGGACTCTCCCCACCCGAACTCTTTGTTTCTCATTCAGGCAAGGATCGTCAACAGTCTCTACATGCACACCTGCATCCCGCATCTGCTTGGCAACTTCTTCGTCGCAGGCAGTCCTCATTGGCAAGTCAATCATGTTCCATGGATGGGTAGAAATGCCGAGACGCATGGTGAGCACCCGCTTGATCGATTTGCACCTCGAACAACACTTGGCACACCAAGAAAGCTATCTGTGGCGTCGCCTTGCATTTTCAGACCCGAAGTGGATGCATTCAGATTGTGTGGTATTTCTTGCGTTCCGAGGCGCTTGGGCAGGATTTTTGATAGGACTTTCAAGAGCTTGGCGTCAACAACAACAGTGCTAGCTTCGGTTTCATTGATGCCGTACGAAGCTCCCTCCTCACCTGACAAAACATGGGATCTGCTGCGCTTTTGGACCTGACTTGTACTTTCAATGCGAGAATTGTCTACGGCCTAGCGTAGCGTAGATTGTCACGACCTGCGGGCACGCCATGGCACGCCGACATAATTACGGTAACAGAAACTGCGCAAGCTTCGTCTGCTGCGGCTTGAGGCCCTGCCTTGCCGTTCAGTTGCCACACGGCGTAGGCACCGACCATCCAGTCCCGCTGCGTTTCGGCGTAGATCACAACCCGGGATTCTGGCTCAACCCCTGCGCACATGATCCTAAGCATGCCATTTGCCGGACCACCTACTCTCTCCTTGCATCTTCCTTGCATATTCACCACAGGTGGTGGGGATTACAACCCACTACGCCGATTCTGACCCATGCGCTGCGGCCTAGTGATGCCATGCCCCTTGCCAAATTCTCCGTGCGGGTGCCAAGTTCTCCATAAGTCATCCACTTGTACCTTGTGACGCACACTGCACACAGAATACACCTGCAGGATTCAGCAACGACAGCGCTTGGTGGCTAGCTTCCTGCCTTTCAGCGCAACATCACTCACATGCAAGCATGAAAGGGCTTCTGAGCGGCTCGTTTTCCAATTCAATTTTCTCTCGCTTGGCGCCACTGCCATCCTGCTGCAAGAGGCTTGGAAATGCAACGTGCTGCAACCTGTTCCATCTGGCTCCAGAATAGCAGGAGGCATTTCTTTTCAGTGCACTTGATTCATCAGCGGCGCCTTTTGCGAGCTTGCATTCCAGCAGCAGCAGCAGCAGCAGCAGCAGCAGCAGCAAAGGAGACAAAAACGACGACGGCAACAGCCACTGCGGCGACAAGAACGACAACCGCAACTACGCAAGAAGCAAAACAGCCACTGCCACCACCGCCAGCACAATGATGACCACCATCATCATTACCACGACCGGCCAACCAGCCAACCCAAGGAGCAAACAACAAGCAACACCAACATCAAGAGCGTCGCAGATGGAGCGGCAGCAGCCGTTCTGGCAGCGGCAAAACATGGCAAACCACTTGTTGCAACAACAATGACGATGGGCAGCCATGGCAACAGCACGAACAAAGCCAGATGACTAAGAACAAGAAGAAGAATAGAAAGCCAAGACAAGAGCAAGAACAAGAAGATGAGAAGGAGACAAAGAACAAGAACCGAAGAGCAACAACAGGAACAGGGAATGACCGCCAGCAGCACACCGACCACAACCACCACCGCCACCGCCGACCACCACCACCACCACCGCCACCACCGCCACCGCCGACCACCACCACCACCACCACCACCACCACCACCACCACCACCACCACTAACGCTGCAACCCCGGCACCCGTGCAGCCTCAACTTGGTGGACCTTGATGACATTGCGCCAGCCAACGCCCTTTTGATCAGAAAGCTTCTCCTGGCAAAGGGCTGCCCACCAAGTTCAAATGAAGCCTTTGTAGACAGGAAAGGCCGTCTTCGCACACAGTACTTTCTCGAAGCGTTCGCGGATCCATCACCGTATGTGTCTCTCACAACTAGCCGCTGTAGCAGCCCCAAACCACAACATTATCTAAAAGTTACATTCGGAGCCCAAAAACTTTCATCATGCTGACCTGCTCGTGGTAGAGGCAAGCTTAAAGGGTTAGAGCGACTCCCAAACCTGGTTTTTCCGGGCCCAGGGTTGGAAAAGCCCAACTTCTGGCTGATTCTCCTAACCAGTAGTACGAGCACACACGCTTCTACTTGCTATAAGCAATTGCGCAGAAATTGGTACGTCTACTTGTGCGAGGTCACACGCAACTTTCTTGCAACCTCTGTCGCGGATCAAGAGTAGCGCCATCCATGTCTTCTAGGATCCGAAGCCAGCTGCTGTTTTGAATATTCTTCCTTCAATGCGCCGCAAACTACGAGGGATATCATGATCCTGCGTTGCGTCTATTTCAACATTGCACGCAGGTTTGCCTGACGGACCTCTCAGTTACCAATGTCAACGGCCCTGTGACAATCATTGTCCTTGTTTGTCCTGCTTTGCGAGTTGGGCGCCCGTGAGTTGCATTTGCCCAGTTCGCGTTGCAGAGTCCCTGCTCGCAAGTATGCAGTTGCCTCTGCTAGAATGTCTTGCAGGACTTTTTTGGGTAGCAAATGTGTGAGAACACTGCCCGCATTGATGTTTGCCAGATGCTCTGTTGCCTGTCGACGCGCTGCAGACTCAAGATCCACCTGGCCTTTGTCTTTTGGAGAACTTGCAGAATGGTCTCAGCGCCACTGGTAGGCTTCTCCCTGCATGTCACAAATCTCGTGCTCACCGTCAGCTGGAAGCTGCGCCTACTGTAGCAGACCCAGTTCAGGCTGTGACAAAGAAGCCCATGACAAACAATGACGATAACTTGTATTAGAAATTAGTTATGAGCAAGCTATACATGTTTGTAATGCCAGGGCCAACAAAACAACCAGGCACTTCCTATTGTTGACAGCTCCCAGAACTCAGAGAGGTTTCATGTGGACGCAGCTGCAGTCGAAAGCCAAAGAAACCGACTTGGGCTCTCGCTTGAATGCCCTCTTGGCTTCCACATTCCAGAGACAGGGGCCAAAGCCTTCCTTGGCCGAGTCCTCATCAAGATCTCCCCACCTCAGAAAGTCGGAAAGTGCAACAGAATTGTTTGCAACCAAAGCTCGTCTGATTTGCGAGTCTGCAGGTGAGTGCTCGGGTGACTTTTGGACGAGCTTTGGACAGTGCTTGTCAGACAGATGTTGTGGCATCACTGCTCAATGCCTCTCAATATGATAATCAAAAGAAGTTGACACATGGCGTTATCCAGACTGGAGTCGAGACCAAACCCCAAAATCTTAGAACTGATGCTTTGCCACACGCTGAGCCAGAGTGGACGTTCAGAGCTGATGGTAGATCGTGAACATCAAATCCTAATCAGCATCGCCACCATGTGTCACAGGCATGCACGGAAGCTAGTTGAGGCCATGCGACTTCTCGTATTGTCGCATAGGATCAAGCGTTGCAGGGTCTGCCATGCTCTCTGGGGCCTGGGGCTTTGCCACCAAGCTTGAGGTGAGGGACTTGGGCCGACTGCACAGCAGCCGAGGACTGAAAAGATGACCCAAATGGCTAAGGCAGTCACAGCTATGACATTCACATATACACTCTTGCTAGCTCTGGCAGCTCGTCACGGAGTTCACCTGCAACCGTGCCTGGTAGTCGTCTGACCCAATCTGCGCACGTAACACCCAGGTAAGAATGGCTGGAAACTGAAGTTGTCTCAGATTACAGCCCATCTGGCCTTAGTTCTGCTATTTATGCTGAACCAGACTTGTAACGAGCAACAGCGCAGTGCTGCAAGGCTTTCACACTCCTTGTCTTAGCATTCTTGAATATCCGTACCTATCCGACCCGAAACAAGCCCGGTCGGTATGATGGGCCCATGCAAGGATCACCCGCGATAAACAGCATCAGCTACTGGATTTTCATGGTTTCCTTGTCGAACCAGCAATGCTTTGCCGTGTTTGCGCAGACGTTCTGAGCCTTCGCCGTCAAGGTGGTTTCATCTGGTGGAGTGCGTGATCTGGATCTGGATCCTCCCAACACCAATGGAATGTGGCGAGGATCTTATATGGAGCAATGCAAAGGCTGCGTACCGGAGACAGGGATTAGCGGAAACAGAGCCAAACCCTAGGGCCATTAGGAGATGGTACTGCAAGATCAAATTGCACTGGCTAGGAGATGAAGACATCCTAAGGCTTCAAGGTGCGGTTTTTGCTGAGTTGAAAGCATTCAGAACCCGCATCTTGTACAGCTTCGCTTCTTGTCTTGGCGATTGATCATTGGAAGCTGGTATTTTCCAAGTTTGGGGGTTAACGCTGATGTCTCTATCGTTCTGTAAGTCCGTTATCGTTTCCTACCCGAAACACTTAGTCTTGTATCCATCGCTGTCATAGCTCCTATGAAGTCGAAAGCACATATCGATAGTCTTGCTCTGACTGCGTGTGTTTCAAGATTGTGAAAGGTCACGAGACGATTCTATCGTTTTTGGTAAGTCCGTTATTGTTTCCTACCCAAAAGACTTAGTCTAGTATCCATTGCTGTCACGCCTCCTATGAAGTGGAAGGCACATATCAATAGTCTCCCTCTGGCTGCATGTATTTCAAGATCATGAAAGCTCACGAGACCGTTGCATAAGGAACCCTGAAGTCATTGCACCCGTTGTTTCTCTCTTGTTTGGCTTGCTGGACTTGCAAATTTGCCACAGGTCAAGTTCTTTTGACTTTCGCAGGTTGAGCTCTTCAAATCGCGGTTGACGCATTCATCATTGAGAACCTTGCGACTCCCTCCAGAACCTTGAGACTCTCTCCTTTTTCATTCCTTGTAGGAAAGCGCAAAGATTCAAGAGCTGACATGCCTGACCACACGCAACAAGGTTTGCCTTGTCGTGCAGATGGTGGAGGTGTCTGCGCGCGACTGTTGGCTGTTACAACAGCTGCCTGAGCATCACCATGTTCTGAAGGCACTGAATGTTTGCTTAGGCACAAAACCATGCAGCTGAAGCCGTAAGTTGCAAGCTTCTTCTGTGTTGATCTTCCAGAAGCCGAAGCCTCAGCCGGCCAGAATTTTGCGGGATGGAACTGATGCAAGCAAGTCAAGAGGCCTTCATGTCAGTCTCTGCAAAATAATCTAAGTTGAGACCTCTGGTCCTCCATTAGTATCTTGGCAACCTAGCTTCTCATGTGCTGGTACTGTTCAGTTACTTTCAGATCGCGGGTGATATACTAGGCTTTGCACGTGACTGAAACATGCCCTACTTGCGGACATTCAATCCTTTTCTTGTGACTTGTCAACTTTCTCAGAACCCACCGGTGCCTGCTTGAAGGTAGAACTGACGGAAGCGCTCCGAACAAGGAGCAGATGCAAAGCTCAGTGTAAGAGTTGCCGGCAACTTGCTGGGGTCTGACCAAGCAAGTAGCTGCTGTTGTACCGAAGACGAACCTCAGCTCGAAGCTGTGGTCTGCTCGTCTTCTCGGGCTGATTTGCCTATCGTCTCCGGTGACCTCACAGGCTTGAGGAAGCCTGTCTCACACCGGGCGCCAGTTCAGAATCGCACCTTCCATGCCAGCCCTTCTTCCCTCGAAGTACTTCGGGTGGAGATGGCCTTGAACGAAGAGACAGGCTGGAGCACGATCTTAGCCTGCGCCTGGGCTACCCAGCAGAGTTGGACTCGCTTCGCGAGTACGGCTTTGCAGCAATCTCCGCCCGAACATGCCTTGGAAAAGCTAATGCCGCGGAAGTGCAAGCATGTGCAGGCCATCTCAGGCAGCGTCGAGCTACCCACGTGATGAGATGATGCAAGGAACTTGCCAGACTTCCTTGGCCAAGGACTAAGAGCGTTCTTATCACCTTTTTGACGCTGTTGATATGGTTGTTCTGCCTTCCGTTCTGAAGTGCTGCTCCTTTTTCGTCACTGGGCTTGCTGAGAATTGACTACTCAACGTTGGTGGCCTTCCCTATTGTCGGTTCCAGTTCTCCGCTTGCGCATTGCTGATGTCAAGATATGACATGGGGAGCCCTGGAAACTAACTTGATCAGCAGAGGACTTTAGCTGGCACTGCTGAAGAACAAATCTAGACCCTCAGGTGGTCAGCTTGGTGAGCAAAGTGAGCAAGACATTATCGAAGTCAGCAATCAGCCAATGACGTACATAGATCCCAACAGATTGCGAATGCGCTTAGCGCAGACCTGAGAATTCGAACCCATGAACCCAGACTTTTGCAGACTCGAGAGCAAGAGTTTCATGAGCAATTACAGCAGTATACTCGGCATGGTCTGCGCCAAGGCATGGTTTAGCCACTAGACGTGTCTGAATGTGTCTGAGCATGTCCGAGCGCACGACCCATGCAAAGTTTCTACAGCTTCAGTCCCACCCTGCATTGCATGACGGTCGCTGAGCACACCACTCATGCGGATCTGAGCAACAATACAGGCGCTGCTAATCTGAGCGGTACCAAAGCCCAAACGCTGCTGCTCCTAGGTGTGTTTGCTTAATGCTGCTCTGCTTTTCTTTTTCGTTGCCTTGCTTTGCGTGGGGGCTTGATGTGTCCCCCCCTCACTCATGCACAACCCAACCGTGTATGTCACGTCTGGCCTGACATGCACCATCTCCGCGGTGTTGATCCTACAGATCCCAAGCCTTAGCTCCCTTTCAGTGCTTGGTTTAGTCATTGAGTCATCCCCTCATGCTTTTTGCTGTTTCCCATAATCAAGTGATACCAAGTGTTGTTGATGGCTGCATCATGAGCTCACGTCAATTGTGCGGGGCGACATCCGCATCAGGTTTGGGTATGATTCCCGGGACAGAATTGTCCACATGATGATTTTGTCGGCTCCCTCCGTTATCTCCTCCACACGTCCTCTCCACCTCTGCTGCTGACAAAGTGCGAAATGCCCTCACTCTCTCACTTCGGGCTACTACAAGAAGTTGAAAGACATTTAAAGCAATGAGAAATGATGATATTCTCGAATCTGCCAAGCTGCAGTACATAACTAACTACACATGCTGACCTGTTGATTGGACAACGTACTCGTGTGACCTCACAAAATGTTCCATTCTGACCAGCGACTCTAAGCTGGCGGGTCCATCTTGTTTCCAGCAGCCTTCTGTGTTGATCCTGTTCCCAGCTGTAGCAGTGTTCCGTACGGACAACCAGGTCGAGGCTCAATATGTCACCTTGATGTCCGCTAGGGGTCGGCATGGGGTGAGACTTCGCACACTCAAATATCCAAATACTGGCTACACCTCAGGTCTCAATGACACGTCGTGTTCCAGCTTGGGTTGCTTGGTCCAGGGCGCCACCCTTCTCCCAATGACGTATGTAGTAGACTGAGACCAAGTTGTGGATTTTCATTTGTTTTCTCCAATGCTTTGGTTTTGGTGGTTTTGAGGCCTTCCAGAACTCCCGCACCTTTTGAGGGCCTCAAGGGTGCCTTTCTCTCGTTTTAGCTAAGTGTGTTGGTTTTGTTGGTTTTGGTGGTTTCGAGGCCTTCCAGAGCTTCTATATGCAGTTTGAAGGCCTCAAGGGGTCTGAAAGGTCCTGAAGTCTGCAAGGGTTGTGGGAAGAGATTTACAGGGAAGAAAAGAGGATTGGGCGGGTCCCCATTAGTGATTCTATATGGACCAATTTTGTGAGAAACTCCCATACATTACCTACCTACGACTTTGAATGTGTGAATTTGGGATCACGTCGAAACTGCATCATCTCTGTGGTGGAAACTTTTTTGGTAAGCGATTTGCCAAACTTTTTTTGGCTCCCGCCCAAGAGTGGTGCTCGTTACGAGCTGAAATCGTGCCAAAAACAACGACGATTCTGCAGTTTACATAAATGAACTGTCAAAAGCGACGACTGTTCTGCGCTTCGCGACAAGCATCGCACAGGATGTAGTGGGAGTGCAATCAAGATGCCAAACTGGCAAAACGCTTCACACTGGATTCTGCACTTTGCCAAAATGAGCCGTCAAAAGCGACAGCTCCGCCGTTGGTTGGGCAAGGCACAGCATCTCCTTTGCGAAGAGAATCTTCAGATGACTTCAAATGACACGCTTTTCAGACGGGACAGCCGAATTTCTATACGGCGTTAAAACAAAAAGCCGGGGTTGCGGGGCTCAACCCCCCGCAGCTTGCCTACAAAATGATCAGCTGTCAGGCTGATTGCACGAGTCACGAGCTTTTTGAAAAATGTGGGGGAACTGGGGGGGGACGGCCCCGTCTATGTGCGAACAGACTGATCAAATGACATGCTCTTCACACGAACACTTTTCTAACACACCCTAACAGAACTTTCTTGCACGGCTGAAGTAGCGGGGAGGTTGGTGGGGGCAACTCCCAGCATTTTTGCGAACATGACAAGCGGGGGGTGGATGCAGCCGTGTTTTTGCACGGCTTTCAAAAGGCGGGGCGTTTGGGGGGACAGCTCCTGCTATGCTGATCGCGCCAACCTTGCAACAAAGGACGATGCACCTAGGGGGAGCTGGCTGGCGAAATGTTTAGAAGGAACCTGGGCCCATCTCTCCCTCCATCATAGAACACCCCGAGAGATGAGATTACCTGGTGGACCATGTGTCGGTGCAAGATATTGGTGCACCCCTTACCTCAAAATCCCCAAAGTAACATGGCTATCGCGAGCCATATTTTCAGGACGGTTAGGTTCCTATGTGTTCTTACATGTAAAACCGCAACTCAATATTGACAAATACGCAAACCTAACGTGCAAAATCACCTTTGTTGGCATCCAAGAATTCTGCATGCATAAACGTGTGTCACTTGACCTCCTGATGATTATCCATGATGACTGCGGTCATGTTGAGTATTGGGTGCTGTGTTGTGAATGGTGTTAGTGCTGCTCACAAGGCTAACGGCTTGACGACGAAGATCGCGATGCTTCACTTCACTGCGCACATGCTTCGGACTTTCTGCCGTTTTTTTTTGCGAGGATGGCTTCGGCTTTGGAAGGTCTCTGTGGGTTACCCAGCGGTCCAAAGAGAGGGGGCGTCGCGGCCACCGATGCTTCCGGCTCCGGATCCTTTCGCGCAAAAATTATCATGGGAGAGTGTTGCGCATTGTTGGGGGTCACTCCCCCGACCCAGCCGCCGGCGACCCTGCGCTTCGGCTGTTACCGCTCAACAACAGGGGGCCAGGGCTTCACCTCCGCAAACCTCTGCAAAAACTCGGGCCCTTTGCAGCTTATGCCGAACACCAACCTCTGCGCAAAAACGTTTATGCAGAGGTTTCCTCTGCGTAAAAAACCCGTTTATGCTGAATTGAGGCCCCAAGCTACATAAACACAATACCTCAGCATGAACCCGGGCCTTATGCAGTTTATGCTTATGCGCTGTGCAGAACGATGCAGAACGCAAGGGGCTCTCCAGATCTCGACACAGTGGTTGCGCATTGTTGTTTCTCTGACAAAGTGGTTGCGCAGCGAAATAATCTGGCGACGGTAAGATTTGGTTTTGTTGTCTGGGTTGTTTGGGCGTTTCGTTGTTTTTTTGCTGTTTGGGCGGTTGCGTTTCTTTTTCTGCTGATTGGGCGGGCCAGGGAGGGGTCGCGATCTTTTATGCTGTTTGGGCCGGGGGGGCCGCGGGTTGAAGGCCTGTTTACCGTTTTGCTGCTTGTGTGGGTGCAGTGTTTATGTTTTTGCTGTTTGGGCGGGCGAGCGTGTCTGTTTTTTTTGCTGTTTGGGCAGGGGGTGGGGGGTCGGGGGCTGGTGTTGGCGCGTTTTTGTTTTTGTTGCTGTTTGGGCGGGTGCGCGTTTTTTGTTGCTGTTTGGGCGGGAGGCGCATTTAGTTTTTCGCTGTTCGGGCGGGGGACGGGAGTTCACTCACTTACCAGCCTGCCTGGCTTGGTGTTGACAACAGAAAACACAACGACAAGAAAAAACACGGGTTCCATCTGACGGCCGTGACTTTGGAGCAACCTCTGCATAGCCTTTGCATAAAATGCATTTATGCGACTTTTATGGCGCTTATGCAAAACGCAACCTCTGCATATTTTTTTAAGCAGAGGTTTCCTTCGCGCAAAAACGACGTTTATGCCATTTATGCAAAATTGATTAGCCCCATATAAGGTCAAGGGCATTGCGTCTACATAGCCGTTGCATAACCTCTGCATAAAATGCATTTACGCAAAGGTGCGCCCCGCGTAAACGTGCATAAGCGCATAACCTCCGCATAACCTCTGCATAACCTCCGCATAATTATGCAGAGGTTTATGCAGAGGTTTGCCATAAGGCGCATTCATGCAGAGGTCTATGCAGAGGTCGTAGACTAAACGAAGAGGAAACCTCTGCATAAAAAAATGATGCAGAGGTTGCGTTTTGCATAAGCGCCACAAAAGTGGGGGTTTAGGCCGGGGTTTATGCAGAGGTTGTGCAGAGGTTATGCGCTTATGCACGTTTACGCGCATTTATGCAGCCCAAAGGGCGCACTTTTCAAACATAAATGCATTTTATGCAAAGGTTATGCAGAGGTTGCTCCAAAGTCACGGCCGTCAGATGGAACCCGTGTTTTTTTTCTCGTTTGGTTTTTTGTTGTCAACACCAAGCCAGGCAGGCTGTCAAGTGAGTGAACTCCCGTTCCCCGCCCCAACAGCGAAAAACAAAACGCGCCTCCCGCCCGAACAGCAACAAAAAACGCGCACCCGCCCAAACAGCAAAAAAAAAACGCGCCCACACCAACACCCCTCCGCCCAAACAGCAAAAAACAAACGTGCCCCTGCCCAAACAGCAAAGATACATACATGCACCCGCCCAAGCAGCAAAA